ATATATATATATATCCTCTCTCTATGAAAGATTAAAAAAAAATTAATTTATCTGTAAAAAAAAGGAAGAAGTTGATTTATATATATTCTACTTTTATGATAGGAACAATGTATGCAGGTAACTTGCTATTAATTTCTCTATCAGATTCATATAAATCCCACTCTAACGCTTGATATGTACTTGTATGCACTCTTCTTTTATAAAAAAGCAACATGCATTTATTCATTAGTTTCTTCGACACGAGAAGTAAACGAGTAACTTGGCCGCTTTGCTTTTACCGGCTTCGTATATTCCTGACTAATGCTCCAGCTTATATCGCATATAGACAGCGAGGAGATGAGTCAAGTGGCAAATTACTCGCTTACTTTCCCTGACAAACAACGATACAAAAGTTAGGCATCTCGATGCACCATCGTCGAGTTATTATTTCGTATTATTTTTCGAATAACACTACTACAGTATAAAAAATACGGGCTATATACTAGTGTCAAGTTACGGGGTCTCTATCTTTTCGCAACGAAAAGTAACGAAGCAGATAAACAAGCGATTTTTATATAGAGTGGCACTCTAGGCCGGCCACCCTACCGGCTTCGTCTGACTCGTCCAACGCAAAATATATATCTCTCCTTGGGAAACTTACCGAGTAGCAACAGCTTGAGCTCCCGCCTGGCATCCCGCTTGTCCCTCCGCAATTGCCGCTCGATCTCCTGGTTGATGCGTTTCTGTTCCTTCGCCTCTTCCGACAGGCAGCACGCCATGGCTCAGGACAGCGGAATCTTCCTTTGACGGAGGAGGTGGTGCCGGCCAAGAAGGAGGAGCAGGAGGATGAGGAGGAGGAGGAGGAGACGGTGATGGAAGAGCAGAAGTGCGACGAGGAGGCGCGAGTACCGGGAGGAGGAAGGGAGAGCGATTCGCAGTGACAGCAAGTGCTGCTCGCCGACCGGCGGCGACCTTCGTTGCGGCTGCTGCTCCTATCCGTCTGTCTGTCCGTTTCTTTCTCTCCTTCGATAACGCGATACCGCCGATCAACGTGTCCGAATTGAAGTAGACGATTGTCCCGATTGACGGGAGACGGGTATTATCTCGCCACCGCGGCGACGACGACGACGATGACGCCTCGTCGTCGTCCTCGTGGTCCCCGTCTTCTTTCTCTCTCCTTCTCTCTCGTTCCACCGGTGTCTCTCTCACTCTCGGCTCCCTCCTACTACTATTACTACTACTACTACTATCAACACCACCGGCGACGATACCGGCACCACTTGCACCACCACCGACGACGACGACGACGACGACGACGGCGGCGACGACGACGATGACGATGGTCACGTCGACGGCGACGGCGACGACGGCGTTTCACTTACTCCCGACGATTCACCACCACCACCACCACCACTATCACCAGCAACACCTATACCAACACCAGTACTATCACCGGCACGACGGTCACCACGACGACGACGGCGACGACGACGGCGACGGCGACGACGGGGAAACGTCCCCGGCGACGCACCCGTGTTTCCCCCTCAACGACGGCGGCGTCTACGCAGCGCCGCTGCTCCTGGCGGGGCTCGACGACGCCAGCGACGCATCAACGCGCGTCTACGCGCACGCACACGAGCCCCTCGCGCCGCCTGTCTGTCGTCTTCTACCGCTTGTTCGCGCGGTCGCTCCGCTGTGCTGTGCTACTGCTGCTCCGTATATACTGTTTCTTCTTCCCTCACTCTCTCTCCCTTTCGCCCGTCACGCCTCGTATCCTTTCGTCCCGCTTGCACTCACGCGCACGCACGTTTCGTCCCGAGTGCGAGTTTGCCGAGGCGCACGCTACACGGATCTCTCCGCGTATATATGTATGTATATGTCTCTCGGTATATATTATATACTTCGCGCTCCTCTCGCTCTCTCTCTCTCGTGATTACTCACGCATACACGTACGTAATACACATGTAAACCACTGCGCACGTTTCACCTTTCCCACGGACACGACGGCGCGGTCTGTCGAACGCTCCTGTAACCGCGACGATCTCGACAAACGTTACCCCGCGGAGGGCGAGGTCCGTTTGTCTCGTTCTCACTCGCACTTTCCTCTCGTCTCTCTCTCTCTCTCGCCGCGCACTTCTTCACCTCTCACGCACACTTGCTCTCTGGTTGTCGTACGTGTGTGTCGTTTCTTCTTGCCGCGGAGGTGTCCCGGAGGTGCGCGATGGATACTCTGGCGCACTCGCTCGCTGACACAGTCCGGATGACGGAGTCCCGGATGGGCGCGCGTTCTCACCCGCGTAGTACTACACGCACGGCGCGGCTAGAGAGAGCTCCCGAGAGAGCGGCGTAGCGGCGACGTTCGGCGACGTTCGGCGATCGGCTCCCGGCTCGCGCGGTGTTGGGTGTGGTAACCCACCGGCGCTCCGTCTCCCTCTTCTCTCTTCCCCTCGATTACGCTTGCTCTCTCGCTCCTTCTCTCTCCCTCTCGCGCGCGCTCTCTCGCACCCGCCGTTTCGCTCGCTCCCTCTGTCTCGCTCGCGCGAGCCCGCTTTTCCTTCTTCTGTCGCGCTCGTCGCCGCGCACTTCTTCACCTCTCACGCACACTTGCTCTCTGGTTGTCGTACGTGTGTGTCGTTTCTTCTTGCCGCGGAGGTGTCCCGGAGGTGCGCGATGGATACTCTGGCGCACTCGCTCGCTGACACAGTCCGGATGACGGAGTCCCGGATGGGCGCGCGTTCTCACCCGCGTAGTACTACACGCACGGCGCGGCTAGAGAGAGCTCCCGAGAGAGCGGCGTAGCGGCGACGTTCGGCGACGTTCGGCGATCGGCTCCCGGCTCGCGCGGTGTTGGGTGTGGTAACCCACCGGCGCTCCGTCTCCCTCTTCTCTCTTCCCCTCGATTACGCTTGCTCTCTCGCTCCTTCTCTCTCCCTCTCGCGCGCGCTCTCTCGCACCCGCCGTTTCGCTCGCTCCCTCTGTCTCGCTCGCGCGAGCCCGCTTTTCCTTCTTCTGTCGCGCTCGTTCCGTGGCACACGCGAAAAGCTGTCGCCGATACTGCTGCTGCTCCGACGCACCGAATCGCACGAGAACTTGACACGAGGACACCACGAGACGAACGCGGCATACGATGATCGGTCACGTTAACGATGACGATGACAACGGCGACGACAACAACGACGACGACGACGACGACGTGTCGGATCGTCGCGAGAGAGAGAGTTTACCGCTATGCGCGCGATATACCTCTCGTCTTCTCTATCTTTTCTCTCTCTCTCCCTCTTTATCACACACACTTTCTTTCTCTCTCTCTGTCTATATCGCTGGTGTTGGCTGCTGCTGCTGCTGCTGCTGCTGCTGCACGAGCGCCCACACCTCACTAGCGGAGCAACTCCTCCTTGCGACACGCGCCGCGCCCGTCCGGCGCGCAGCTTTTATGAAGCGTCGCGCGAGCCGAGAATCCTGTTAGACCAAACCAGATTGGCGAAGCCCCGGCGACACGGCCAGCTCTCGGTTCGCTCGTGGCTGGCTGCCTGCGTATCACCAGCACCGTAGGGCGCGGGGGGGCGCGCACGTGTCCGCTAACGAGATTAAAATCGGCGAGTAGGAGGAGGCGCGGCCGCCACCCGCCGGGGAGGAGGCACGGAGAACGTAACGGCGCGGCGCTGTCGTCGCCGAGTTCCCTACCTTACCGACGCCAAGGAATTTGCGAGGATAGCGCGCCTATACACGCTTCGCTAGAAATGCCAAAATGCCTCGTAATATGTACGAATGTAAACGGAGAATGGAATATTTCCATTTTCGCATTATATACTCGGATTTTTTTTTATAATTAGTTAGTTTTCTTTGTAAGGATTTTTTAATATGATTCGAGCTTTATAATTTTTTTTTTTCACACTATCCTTTTGTTTTCCTGCTACTATTTTTGTTTACCTTATATACTATATATCCTCTTGCTGTGCATGATTTATGCAATCCCTTGCATAAATATGAGCTTTTTTCGCGACAGTATTTTTTTCTTTACTTTTTATTTTCTTCGCACGACCGAATTGACATCGAATTTTTGTCCAGATTCTTAATACGGCTACTCGTCCCATTGGTTGTTCTGTCCCAAATTTTCGTCCAATTCTTGTTACATGCGTAAGAATCGCGATGCTGGAAAATATTGTTAACATTGAACAATTTGTTAACTTTAAATTTAATTTAAATGTCATACTGAAGAAAAATGCGCAATAAAAAACCTAAATTAAATTTGGATATTTTCAAACTTGTTTTTCGATATTTCGTTTAAATTTACATGTGTCGTTTTTTTACGTATTAAAGAAATCACATGTATTAAAGAAAACACAAAACTATTACTATTGTTCGGTGAGAGGATTAAGTTTCGAATGTGAGGCTTCATGAAGCCCATAATTCCGATAGATATCTGAGACTTAATTCGATTCTTTAATTAATCAATAATTTTAAAATATATTTGAGAAATGTCGTACTCTCTTATGGTTATTTTTTATCCACGCGATTCACTTTACATTTTTGGCATATTTCTTTATTTGTTTCTTGTTCGTGAAGTATGACTTTTCCTAGATAAATGACATAAACTTTGGTTAAAAGTAAAATGGTAATTAATGGCATATAGTTAAATGTCAACATTACAAAAAAGATAGAACAAATTAGAAAATGCATAGAAAAAGCATTATTAAATTATTGAAAAATATAATGTACAAAAGAAAATAGAAAAAAACTTATTTGCACTCTATATATATTCATTACGATAAAAAAATCACAAAAATATATAAGCAATTTTATATAAATCTAAAAGTTTTATCTTCCTTTCTTCTGTTTGAACATTTTAAATTGCATATGTATATCAACTTTCTCTTCTTATATATTATATATAAAATGGTCGATTTAACAGATATATATATGTATATTTTAAATATCGTTACCTGTGTCTAGATCAATTTGGCACAAATTCATTGAAATTAATTCAAGCAAATTCGCAGCATGCATGTTATAGTTCACGTCATTAAATAATTCCGCGATCTTGTGGAAGAATTTTTGAAGAGCTTCCAATCGCCTGTATTTTAACGTTAATTGAAGCTTTTTTAATATTTTAATTTATATCTAATTATGTATAGTTTCGAATAATTCAAAATAGGATAAATACAAGTTAATGATCTTTGGTAATTCCTTATCTAAGAGCAATCTGATTTGTTGGAAATCCTTCAATATTTTATCATGCTGCCGTTGCAGCTTCTCCATCTGCGACACAGACAGTCTCGAATTTTCCAGTAAATTTTTAAAATTCGCGGATGCGAGAAAGAAATCTTTCCTTCTATCCCGGTGATCGTCCAATAGCGCGCACATATCTTTAGGGAAAATAATGTTTTTGGAACAATATTCCATCAACTCTCGCAAATTCGACATACTCTTTTCTTTCTCGATCTCGATCTGTATGACGATTGAAGGAATCATGGTGGGGAAACTTATTTATATTATACAATCCAAAGAGAAATTTAAATTAAATTGAAATAATCAATAGCATTCTGTGTTTAAAAATGGAAAAGCTAATATTTTAAACTTTAGATACACACAAGCCGTTTTTATTTCGAAAGTGGATATAAGCCAAATTTTTAAAATCTTATTAAAAGTGGAACATGATAAAATAATTTTCCAACCATTATTAAAATTTAGTTCGAATAATTGAAAATTAAGATAAAAAACATATTTTTTCCCTTTTTCTTTCTTTATACTTAATACCTACAGAACAATGTTAATTGTCATAACTTCGAAATATGAAAATGTATAAAATTTTAAGCGCGCTTAAAGTTACCTGTCCGTGATACGATACGAAATCGTTGTCTGCGTAGTTTGCACTTGAAGAAGGATGACATGCGAGCAAGGCGTGACTCATATCAAACACTCTTTTCGCAGCGAGGTACGATACTTGTAAGGATTGCATATATTGAACAGCGGCTTCGAATACATTACTGATTAAGCTCAGATGCTGCATCAAGGTCACCTGCTTATCGTCCATCACAGCCTCCTCCACTTGCGTCTTTATCAAATTAGCCTGCAGAGTTTCCTGTAATTGTCGCAATTTACCGTCCGATTTCTGCTTAAAAGGTACGTTTGTAAAAATTGTAGGATTACATCTTAATGCTATTTTATAACGCCGAATGTAATGTATAAATTAAATGCCTTATAATTAATAGCCACTAAACGCCTTGATGATTTTGATCCGTTGCACTGTTCGCAGCAAATACAGCAAGCAGATGTAAGTTTTTCTTGAGCCACCAGATGTGAATGCGTCTCGGTTAGAAGGGGTGAATATACTTGCGAAGCTTTTTCCTCATCTGATGTAATGTGTGGCGCAGAATGTAAAGAAGAGTATCTATGAATGCACGGCTCGCTCCATCTCGAGTGAAAATTTTGTTCGCGAGATTGCGACATATTTCATATGTCTTACTTGAGCTTATCTCTAGAATAAGCATTATGACTCTACTAATGTAATAAAAAAATTAACGAGTTGTGTGTAATGTGTTAAAAAAATCAGATTTGGAATCGCTCACTTATCGCCTCATCAGCCATATCTCTCTAACAATAAGTAGATTTACATCGTCAATATAACACGGCTGTTCTGCGATCTAGAAAGATGCAGTCTAAAGGTTGACACGACATCGCATGCGTGTTTTTACTTGTTGGTCGTATTTTTTTCAAAATCTCTCGGGATGTTGATCGATGGATTCTTAGGAACGATATATTTATTATGGGCTAAAAAATCACGTTCTGAACGTTCACGCGCTGTATATATATATTACAAACCAGTAGTTATATATTATATAATTATATCTGTGTATTAAGGTTATAAAGATACGACTGACTGTGTTTCCATGAAGTAAAACAACAAGACGTAAAAATGACAAATGACATAACGATCGGTTGGCGGTTGCTCCACTGCTACATTAAATCTGCGACTTTTACCGCGATCTTTTTGGCAAACTTTCGATACAGATTACATTATGAGCGCATAAAAGTCTTACCATCTGCATATTAACACAATATAACAGAATTTATTACATGTTATATTAATACATGCATAAAAAATGTATACCTATGTGTATGGCTCCAAAACTTTCGTGTTTGATATTTTATATTAAACCTTTGGATTATATTAGGTATTTGTATATATTTTATCAAAAATTTCCGACGGATAATTAGTAAGAGAATTATTTTTGTTTTTTTTACATACGTTCTTAATATTTAAATGCACATCTCCCACTTGGTATAAACACTTTGACTGTATAATCACATAATTAATATTGCACATATAATTAAATTGCAAGTTCAAAGAATAAATAATCCATTCAAGATCTTTTTCGAATAAAAATTCCGTATATATAGATTTTTTCTCTTGAATCTCATGATATTTTTTAACTTAATTTTTTACCATGTGGGAAAACTCGATAAACCATGAAATCTTATTAATAGTTTCTATTAAATTAATTATTAGTGTGACAATGGATCAATCCTCGAAAGTGGCCTTTCTTACAAAAGGAACAATCCAACTTTCCTATATTCTCCGCGCGTTCTATAGCATAATAAAATAAACAGACACACGATATATCAAGTAGAAGCTGAAATTAATATTCTTTCTTAACGCTACTTTGTAAGCATATATATATATATATATATATATATATATATATATATATATATATATATATATATATTATTAATATTAATTTCAGCTTCTACTTGATATATCGTGTGTCTGTTTATTTTATTATGCTATAGAACGCGCGGAGAATATAGGAAAGTTTATATATATATATATATATATATTATTACAACACTATTTATTACACAAGATGTGAATACAAGTTTATTTTCGGCAGATCTAACGAGTATTGATCGAGTCTACAAAAGTTTCGGTTCGTTACGTATTTGTTTTCTATCTTGACAACATGAATAGATACGGGAGCGATAATAATTATAGCAATAATAATAATAACAATAGTAATAATAATATAATAATAAACGCTTTTTTGTCGCTACCCCATTCTCTACATACATATGTATAAGATTGCGGATACAAGTGAATAAAACTTGTAGATTCCTTTGAAAAATTTATGCTCCAAAAAGAGACAGAAAAAACAATCATAAATACTCAAAAACTATACTCATTTCATTTATACATCGTAATATTCATCTTTCTTTTACGTATCACTTCATTGATATCTATTATTACGTCGTTGAAAAATTTGGCATTTGGCGAAAGTTTAATGGGATCTATTGCTAGAATCTTGAACTGTAGGCGAATAAATAATGTAGAATCTTACTTTACGAATGCAGATAGATAATTGGACCTTGAAGATTTTACGGCTTACCTCCTGTTGAATAAGAAGGGGCTTCTCACACATCGCGAGTGCTCTTAAACTTTAAGATATATATCTCTTAGTGATCCTTTTCAGTGGCCACAAAGTTATTTCGTAAAATACTCTTAAGTAATATAGATCTATGTACAATTTCATAAAATAATATTAATTTAATATATACCTTTCGCGTTTTATATTATAATAATGAATATCGTTGTGTATGTGTGTATGTGTACGTGTGTGTTATAATATATTAGTCACTTAAATATCTCATTTGATTATTATTTCGAAATGTGTATTCGTACATTTGATATGAGAGATTTAATCCCATATTTTTGACGAATAAGAGTGAATGTTGGCACAGACAGTGGCTGGGTTAAGGCACTTTGGGGTGATTGATTTTCTCCGCAGTACCGTCCAGCATAACTATCTTATCGAATTCTCCGCCCCCTCCCCCTTACGCCTCCTGCAGCCCGTCGTCTGACTCTTTTCAATTCGCTTTTACTTATATACGTCGTCGTGCGTAATATTCGAATGACCGCACGAAACTCATATATGTATTTCCCATTTAATTACGTGACTTTTTCTACTACCTTAAAGTAAAATACGCTGTCTCTGATGAGCATTGGAGTGTGAATGGCGAAACGACTACAGCCCTCACAGCGGTTTCGTGAAATTCGCTGGGAACATACCCTTCTCGTTGGTGCCTTCCTTGATACCCATTAACCATCCTTCTTCCTACAACAAACAAATGCAAGAAGATCGTGAGAAGAAGCTTAACGCGTACACATCTAAATATTTTGTAGTATACAGTTCAATTCTCATAAAGTTACTAAAAGGATTACAAACCTGTTCCTCGGGATCATCATATTCCACGACGCGAATGATTTCGCCGACGTCAAATGACAGCTCGTCCACGTCCTCTTGAGTATATTTGTAAGTGGCTTTAACCCTGTACAAAACGCCCGGCGGTAGATTGTCGGTAGTCGCCCCTACAGATAAATTGGTAGCATTTTCATATTCCGCCTCTAGATTGATCGAGTCCGCCCCGTTAGTCATGGACCTGCCTGTGATTTTAGCCGCATGGAAATTTTGATTATATGTGATACCAAATGTATGTGCGAAATTTCATATTTCATATTTTTATCGTATACATTAACGTTTAATACCACAACTAAGTCAAATTCATTACGATCTTGTTTCGGCAAGACCATGCACAAAGGGGCAGAGATAGCATACTAATACTACATTAATAATAATTCGATGCTGCAAATTTAATAACATTCAATTAATTGTGCCATGTATTACATATATACGCATATATATATTTGGAAATTCGAAACAATATATGTTGACCTCAATTTTGCAAAAACAAATCAATCAACAATTAAAATATATCGTGCATTAATTTATTTGTGTAAAATGTAACTCAATTATTTCATTTTATCTTTATTTTAACAAGATTTTTATTTGTTACTTGATTGCAAAGAAATTTAATACTAAAAACACCAAAAAAACTATAAGAGAAAAAATCCGATTCAAACTGTTGAGAAAGTACGTACACAAAATTGATCAGTCTCAACATCATCTTATATATGCGAGTTCGGACAATGTTAGAGGAAAAAGCACATTCACAAGAAGTTATGCGAGCGACTTACCAGCTGGAATATCGTATAGCTCCTCGACCTGTTTGGAAGGCGCAACTGCGTTCTGCGGCGACGCATCCTGGTTATTGAGAGAATTATCATTGCTGTTAGCGTTGCTATTAGCATTGCTGTTAGCGTTGCCATTTATCTGGGTGGTCGGCGACGTATCTCTGGCAGCGGGCACGGTATCATTCAAAGCTGAAACACGCGAGAGAAAGCGCACTCAAAAAACTGGATGGCCAGCCACAACATGGCCACAACAAAGCCATCGGGAATGTTCTAAGTCCTGTTCTTGTTCTACGCGTAGCGAGAACGTTACAAGACATGCGTAATTAGTGCAACATGTATATAATTAGTATACGCGCAAAAGTACAAATCAAACTTGAACAAAAATATGATAAAATTACCTTCTGAGATATTGTTCTGCGCTGGTTTCGTGTTGATTATCAGGCTGAAATAAATCAGTATTATGTAACTATTATGTCTCGGTAATACATTTTCATTCAATATTATATTTTGTACGGTCATTTTTGCGACGTTACATTTTGTATATCGCGTTTTATACAATTTGGATTCAAATTATATTTTATACAATCTTTCATTATTCTTTTGTAATTAATATCTTTATATATAATTATTATTATATTCAAATTAATTAAATTTAATTTTATAGAATTCACACACACTTACGACGAGTTCGCGTTTGGCGATTTCGGCGATTGCGGTTCCGTGTTCTTCTTAAGTGTGTAAGATCCTCGCTGACTTTCATTAGCCAATTTATCGACGATCGCTTCTAATTCCGAATATACCTAGAAATATAAATAGAAATAGGAAAATATATAATGACGCCACACTGCAGTTTTTTATATACGTTTCCCGACATAAAAAAGTTAAGTCAAATTTTCGTCAAGTAAACTCTATGCAAAAGATGAGATATAAAACTCTATTATATCGAATCCGATTCTATTACATTAATTCATCCTTTTTTCGAGTAACTCGTATGAATTAGATACCTTAGAACTTTCAGTGTGAAACACTTGCTCCGCGGCAAAAAGCGTCTGCAGATTAGTGACGAGGAAAAGAACGCGCGAGTCGTATAACGCCGGCAGTTCATCGTGCAGCTCGGAATTCAGCTGCTCGTATGTACGTTTTGCCTCTTCTAACAGTTCCTTCCCTCGGGACACTTTGAGTTCGTCCCTTTTCTTTGGATTACACTGCAGGGATTGGAAGTTGTGTCTTTGACTGTCGTAATCTACCAACTTACGACCACGCTTGTCGATCTTTTTCTAGAAACAAATAAAAACTTCGAAACGTAAGGCATATTATCATAATTATTGTATGATGGAAAAAAAAAAAATGCTTAATTTGTATTTTTAACTTAACTTTAATGTCTTTATAATTTTCCAGCATCATTTTTTATTCATTATAAGAACAAGTAATAAAATATAATTTATTAGAATTGACGATTATATAAAAGACAAAAGTTTTATTATCTAATAAATATATGTAAAAGAAAATTAAATTAAAATAAAAGATATTATAATTTATATATTAATTTAGTTTTATTATATAAATTATCGAGTTTATATATCTATTTTTCGTGGAAAGTTTTGCAATAATAGAGCATCATCGATAAAGAAATCGTTCACAATTATCGCAAAACTGCACGTACCCTCATCTCCGGGAATTGGCTCTGATATGTGTTGAGTGGTACAAGAACTTGGTCCGCGAGCTTGTGAGTGAAATCTTGCCATAGCATGTCAAGATTTTGTGCCTGCACGTACAACAGGTCGTGTCCAGTCCACTGGCTCTCGTAAATTTCATTCAACGAGTCCATAAGTGTCTTCGAGGCAGCTTGCACCGCTAAGAAATGAAACACACGCATCGGTTCACTTTTGTTTGCTTCGTCTGCTTTTTTCATTAATGCTTTTTCAATCGTTGCTATTAATGCATGAAACTCTCGCGCATAGCGAGGCTAATTTTTAATAGAGAAAACTTTCAAACTCAAAGACGTCACGTAACGCGGTCATTAAAAGAGACATAGATAGCTGTTTTGCAAGCCGTGGAGAAACTTTTTCACGCCGATTTTCCATCAGGTGGCACATGTCTTTTTACTTCAGGAATATACGCGACGCGGGTGACTACTTTCCTGACCTACATCTAAACCTCTCCTAGTACATTCACCTGCAGCGATAAGGCGGCTATTAACAAATTCCTCGCTTTGGCTTGCGCTACACAAAAGTTGCAAAGTGACTATCATTCGCGTTGAATTTTGTGCTGACGGGTATTTAATTTGAATAACAACGAAACAAATTAAAATCAGAGTCTCTACATGTAAGTCGACGTATCATTTAATTTGAATACTATAACATTTCTCTTTCATCGAAAGATTCTTTTTGTTTACTTTTTGTATAGATATATGTATTTGATTAGCATTTTTAATTTATCGTAATTGAAACTAGATATATAACCAATATGTATTATATTACACATTTAATCCTCTTTATTTTAATAAAATAAATCAAGATATCTTTTACGGAAAAAAATGTCAACTTCCAGTGATTCTAAGAAAATATAAATGTAAAAGTTACAGGTATTTCTAAAAAATTTCCATTGTATAAAATAATCATATTTATCGATTAAAATAATTAAATAATATCAATGACAATCTCAAAATAAAATTATATTATAAATCAATTTTCATTAACGCTATATTGTGCATAAAATTGAAGGTAACATCGTTCATGAGCGCTAATGGGCAATTCATCGTTAGTGCAAATTACGGCAAGCGACTACCGCAATTTCTAATGTGATTATTTTTTAGATACTTCAATTTGCAGCCAACGAGTTGTGCGCGTACTCGTTAATTTTTTTCTTAGTTCATCTACTTGGAACTTGGACTTGTGGAGTGCGTAATGATGTAAATTGCGACGATGAATCGTCGACGATTTTACATGTAACACGTTGAACATATTTTCATCATATTTTCCCGTTAACGTTACCGCGACTTTATGGCGACTTTGTCGCCGGCGAAACTCGCTGCTTATTTATCGACAGGTTTTACAATCGACTTCTGCATGCGGGTATTTATGCGCGTTGCGTCCCGTCTGTCGAGCGATAAAAAGAAAGCTAGCTATTGACGCGGATTCCGCGTGCTCCGAAATTAACACTTCCTTCCAGAAAGTCGCGCATCGCAACGTTTGCTTAACAGGAGTGGGCATCTTCAAATTTCGCATGCTTTTTTTCTGTACACTCCTGATTTTCAATTTTATCGTCGGTATTTGTAAAATTCGCAGTTAGCCGTGTCGGAGAAATACTCTTCGCTTTTTCTGTAGCTGAAAAGCGGAAGTTTTACAAGTGTGCAAATACCGATGTTGTTAGTCCAGTCAAGTATAGAAATTGTTCGCGACTAGCTCGAGTGGGAAGGATTAAAGATCGAATGACATTCCACTATTGATTTCGCGCGTGTTTGTCGGTCTCGTGTCGAGACTAGCTATTAAAGTGAGAGAGAAAGAAATCCCGAGTGCATCGTCGAGCCTTTGCTTTTAAAGTATTATGCATAATCCCATTAGATCTGAGAAACAGTTAAATGTCTCATAGAGATGTGAAAACTCATTGCCCAAGATTGTTGCATGCGGGCATCAACGCCTATATATGTATAATTTTCTGTTACATGAATTAATAACAAATTTATATTATGTTAACACAAATAGTATTGATATTACAATATATATATATTTCTATTACAATAATATACTATAATATATAGGGATTATATATTGTTGTTAATTATTTACATTATAAAGTACAATACTACATTGTTATAAATACGGAGGATGGGCAAGAATAATCAACTTTCCATTAAAATCTGGACATTGAAAAAGATTGACATATATATAACATATACATACATATATTACAGAAGAATGTGGGGGGTATACAAAATAATTAATATGTTATCATCCACATTATTGGAAAAGTCACGAAATTGGTTTTATCAATTGCTTCTGTAGCATATCAATTATTCAGCTGGCGGTATATACTCGCGCATGTCCCACGTATGTGTATCACTATCTTATCTAAGATATATTATCTCGGCAAGGTCGTGTTGTTTAATATTTCGGGCACGCCGAATGTTGGCGTGTAAGATTGCCGCGAATTACACGCAGAGAGTAATTTCTTCCTGCCGACTCTCACACAAAGGTCGTCGTTTTGTGTGTTGTGTGCGATGTACCTATTGGTGCATTACCGAATATACACGCGCGATTAAAATATTACGTCAGTTCCTCCCGATGGTAATTGATGCCGGTGAATCTGTGCAGAATCGCCGGTCGTTATTCAATGTCTGCTCGTTATTCATCCGTCCGTCATTCATCCGCGAGAAGTGTCGGCGGACAAAGAAAATGATTTTCCCGACTGACCATGTAACATTTCTTTGGCATTTATCATATAACAGATTTATTTATAATTATACTATATAATTTTCTTTGCAATTCGAAACGTAATTTAAATTTTTTTTTATTATGTTCCTGCATGGTGTAAATATTAACGTGTATAAATTAATATAATTTTTCTATCATAATATAAAGAAAAAGGAAGATGCAATGAATATGAGATATACACGTATAAATGAATGTTGAGCTAAGCGCGCGTATCGATAAATATGCATAATCTCTGCAATCCGCAAAAAACACGAAGACAAATTGTCAGGTTACACGTCATATAATTCAGCCTCCACGAGAGTTTAACAAACGGGTCATGGTAACGCAAGATTGTCTAAACAATTTTTTTTTTTACTTTCGCGTTTCCGGAAGTCTGTTAATTCAAGCACGTTGACTCTATAGATACTCTATAGATCGATCCTGTCGTGGATATATTTCGAAAATTCACGAAAAATATATATTAATACTTTTTTTATGTAAATTTTAATTTTGAAAGTAGGGCCGATATATATATATATATGTTTATATGCCAATTAAATTTAATAAACCGAGATAAAATAAATGTAATTTATCGAAAAATTTATTTAAAAACGAAACTTCTGTCCTAATTTCCGAGCGTTTCGCATATTAAATTATAAAAGTTATATTCAAGATATTGATAGCTCCTTGTGCTAGAATGAATAGAATCGCTTGTATAATTTATAACTAAGCAATTTGAATTTTTTACGATAGTTTAATCTCCATAATTAGTGCTAAATTAGCGCTTATGTAAAGTTTTAATGCCGCATCAATATTTCATATGTGCTATAAGTTGAATAAATAATAAAACACTGATTATTCAAAGGTTAAGATATTTAATCCCATCGGCAAATACGACCGTAATGATCGCCATATTCAAAACTAAATAAAGAAAATCTCTTTAGCGAAAAATTAAAGATCATCAAATCCATTTATTGATATAAGCCCAATATTTCCCTTACTTGCACTTATGCGCATAATATGATATAGAGTATTAGTGCGCCTATATATATAATAAATAGCGACCGATGTTTAAAGAAAGGACGAGTTGGAAAATTTCGTTCCGTGCGTGACGACTTACCTCGAACACATCTGATGTAATTGTTAAACTCCTTTTGTAGTTTGTTGGCGGAGTTCTGCTGCCTCGTGAAGTTCTGCAGATGCTCGTCGAATATATCATCTGCCGTTCGATCGACCTTGCCTAGATTTTGAAGAAACTGTAACAAGAAAAAAATACAAATCTTCCATTAGTTGTACATCATATTAAAGTTTATAAAATTTTAATAATTATTCGCTATTATTATTCACCATTATCGAACATCATGTATATTTCATATATCTGTGGTTGAATATAGTAATGCGGCTAAACGTATGAATGTCGTAAATGAGATTATCACTGTACGGAAGACCCGCGATATAATCTTTCTTATATGATCTTACCTGTTATTCTAACATTTTAATTAATATTATCTCACAAATGTTTTATATATATTTTAACATTAAAATATTTACGTTATAAAATCAAGCAAATTATTCTATATAATAAACTATTTGATGCACATTTTATAGATTTATTTATATAACTTACTAGATAATAAATAAATTGTACCATAAAATAAAGAGTAATGGTAAACTTACATATAAAAACAATAACAAGTAAAATTGTCATTTTATCGAATGCATAAAACTGATTTATGTCCGCGTTACTTTCCTGGCTTCTCACAGCCAATTTAATAAAGAAATCTATTAGAACCTTAGTACCCCACTACCATTGTTATCGGCAATAAGGCGCGACGCGTTGTGAAAGGATGCAGATGATGTAACAATAGCTATCGACCGCGGAGAAATTTCACGCTGGGAATGCCATTCCTCCAGTTCGATTTTCATTTAGCCCCTAGCACCTGTTCGATCTTCAATGTCGGAAAAAAACTCGCTTTTCCGGGAGATTATATAAAAGAACCACACGATTAGGAAACTTACGGGAATTCCATTACTTTTTAAATTTTGGATCAAATCGTTTTGGTATTTATTAAAAATGTGGTATATTCAAGAAAAGCAAATGTACGTATTTAAAATAAAATCTAGTTTTATTTTTCTATTGTTCGAGTAAAAAATATTTCATAACAATTTTACATTATCGTCTTTTTTACGAAAAAAGTCATAAAGTATTATTTTTTGAAAATAATAACAAGTAACGTATTTCAAGCAAATCAAGATGCACAAAGATTGGATTAAAAAATCTTTTTACTTTGTATTAAAATAAAACGTATTTGAAGTATTCTTTATATTTTATATGATAAATGTAGCTTGATATTTCAAGGGTTAGAGAGTCGAACGCTAGGAAAAATGCTGCCGGCATCTTTCTTAGACTGTGTCAGAAATCAAAGGCTGGAACGTTTGCGATGAAAATCACGAGGCATTGCATAACCACCTCTATCGCTAACTCTACCTATTCGCGGAGAGCCAGTGATCCATCCGCGAAGGTAAGAGGTGCGCCGACCTTCTGCAGACATGCTCTTCGTCCCGTCCCGGGAAACAAGGATATCGCGCGCACGCGTATCATGATATACCATTCAATTTCCGTTCTCCAGTTTTCCGTGATTTAATCTCATATCGGCTACACACCGTTCAAATCTTATTAGAAGATAGAATGACAAATGTTCAAAACAAATTATTTCGTCTTTTTTTTTTATTTTCCCCCTAACAACTGACCTTAAACCATACTTGCATACCGCAAATTGAAAGTTTGTAATTCATAGAGATAATTAACGGTATACAACATGCATTGAATAAATCTACATTTGGAATGATCAATGAAATTAGTAATGTGAGAGAAATGATTAATTTTATAACTCTCGGGGTTTAGCATTTGATTTATGTTAAATCTTTATGAACGAGATTAATTCTGAAAAATAATGTTATAACTTAGATTATCGAAATGACATTAGACATGAAAAAATGATATTGTTTTCGATTTATTTATTTGACTTGTAGATAAAAATTCATCATAATTCATAATGAACTTTGAAACCGGTACACAAAGAAATGGATATATATGTGTTAAATGTATGTATCTCTCATATATCTAAGTCTTTATGAATCCAGTGATATCTATCGATGCTTGACATTTTAGTATGACGTCAATAGTAAAAAGATATTAATGTATATCAGAAATGAGACACCGCAGCTGTAATAGCAGCTGACAGTAGTAATTATGAGATATCTCCACATTTAATTACGTTTATTCAGCAAAGAGAGTAGCTAATAAAACGCATATGTGCTGCCCGCGTCCGGCGTTTCGCCTGTTATCAGAGGCACAAACGTTTAAATTAATTCTTTCAATCGTTTCTATGGCGTTATTAGGAACGGTTGATCCGCGCAACGATGTTATTTACCACGTCTCTCTATATGCTTTATTCCGACAGAACAATCGTTTATGAAGAAATGTTAATTGCGGAAGCATAAAATGTAAAACTTAAAGTAGAAAATGGCTTGGCATATATAACAGAGCATTAAAAATAATTTTTTTTTAACAATATATAACGCAACATTATTAGATCGTTTTATTACAACTGTGCGCAATTTGTTGAGATATACGTGATATATATCAAGTTGCAGTTTTAATATAAGCCGAATCGCAACGCAGGCTTACAAGATATCTGAAAGCGAGATTAATCCTCTTAACTTTCGAGTCAATATCATTTTCTATATGTGTCTGTCGTATATAATTATCTCGGTGCAATCTTAAAGGTATTCTATGTTGATGCAATTTTTGTCTCGCTTTGTCGAATTGAAAGATAGCAACGAGAAAATTTTGGGTTTTACTTTGCGTGTACTCGCACTATTCGAATATACAGGGTGGGTCACCTGATATTATCATCTTGATTTACGTATTAATATTGACGTAAATCAAGCTGATAATATCAGGTGACCCTCTCTGTATATATATTTCGTATATACGCCATATATTCAGAAAAAATAGATTAAAGTATATTAAAGATAGATTGTGTTTTCGATATATTTAATCTTACATGACTCATCATACAAAATGCACTTTTATCGCAAGATAATTTCTCGGACGAGTGCGTATTAGTATGAAGCTGAGTATCAAAAATAGTATTATTAGAGTCATGGTGATGCCGAGAAAAATTTCGCCCCGTAAGCTGCACCAGCTCAATATATGCTAATATATATATTCGTTATACGGTATATCTGTTATACCGTTAGGCATCGTGATGCTTCGCGTAATATTTGTTTTACAGAAAAGCGCCTAAAACTCGTACAGAAAGCATGAGCATAATCCTTTTTTGCGCTATAATCAACATATGTTTGTTAATCGTAAATTTAATAAGAAATTATATGTCTTAAGGAGAAAAAAATCGGTTACGGCAGTATTAAATTTTATACACCGGGACTAAAAAATATATATACAACCTTGATTAGTAGATATGGATAGATGTTAAGCCTCGCATCATCGACCCGACCTACTGCACGACTGTTGACTTTTTTTTTTTTACTATCTTATACGGTGCGAGACACGATTTTTGTCACGATTCCGTAATGCCTTCATACCGTTATTCGGTTAACGTAGTCTCCATTCGATACCTTGTAACAGGTGAGAACGAAGACTGAACTCGTTTACACGCGAAGCCGACTTGCATATATCATCCCATACAACGCGCGCACGACTTGCAACATCCACATTGCAATACTTGCAATTATAAGCGCATCAAATATCGAGATGATACTAGAAATCTTTAAATCGCGCAACTTTTGTAAAAAATAAATAAATAAATAACTGATTTTGTAAAATTCTCATAAATTTCACGAATTCTTCACAGATTCTATAAATATCGTAACATTTTACACAAATTCTTTGTGGAATTAAACTTTACAAGTTTAATAAATACCACGCATTCTACAAACGTTATAAAATTCCTACCGATTTTAACGACTTTGCCCGATCGGAAATAACTGTCAGCGCCTGATCGCGTCGTGACTTTCGTAACTTTTTTTTTCGAGACATTACTGTCGACAACCAATTACTCGCTGCTTCCGGCGTTTTCTATATAAATAAGAAAACTTTCTCCCGTGCTATAGATAACGCGGCTAACGGGAATACGGAAGATTCCTCATCATGACGTTTAGCTCTTACGTCGAGCGCAAGCATGGAGGGAATTTATTTAAAATTCCGAGTCGTCTTTCCAGTGCAAATTTCTATTCTTGTCTCGATCCGATTTTCTAGATGCTCAAGAACGACGTGACGAAGCATTGAAATAAATTAATGAATTGTTTTTAGTTCCCTTTTATATCTATGGGCAGTTGGAAATGTGACTACTCGTAATGATCGAGCATTGAAACGTGACCAATTACAGTTGTCCGGCTACTGATACACTCGCGTGCTGCTGATTTTCATGTACACAAATAGTAATAGTATTAATTGATAATAATAGTAATTGGTATAGATGACATATATAGATAGCATCAAGAAAAAGATTCTGTAAGTCTTGAAGTATGTACACATTTATCTTGTATAAAATGATTTTTAAAGATTAATATTCTTTTTTCTTTTCGCCAAGTTTAACATTATTTCATAGGACATTAAAATTAATAAGAAATTTGTATTTGAGATTATTCGAGATATTATATTTTTAATAACATTAAATCTTCAAATCCGAACACAGACCCGGACGTATCGTTTCCGAAATAGATGGTCCTCTCTTGGATTTATTAATAGCTGAGCAGATGACGCGAATGTGCCGTTGCATCGCTATTATTGTGCCATCCTATGGCCCCGTTTCGCCACTTGCCGGTTCACATTGTGCTCCGGGAGAAGCATTGTCGTAGAGACACCGCGGGTGAGATATAGAAAAAATAACAAGTGTAGCGCACGATAGTTGTGAAAATTACATAAGCTCATCTTTCTTATGATGCTATATAAGAGCATTGTTTACATTTTCTATAAAACAAATTTTTTTTTTTATAAATGTGATATGTACATAATCTCTCTCCGACATAGATTGCTAATTAAATGCAAATTAATTATAATTAAAAATTTGTATCATATTATGTTTCTCGAGCGACCCCTCATTAACACATTTAACGCGATAAAATATTTATGGAAAATGATACTGTTGTATGTAAAATAACCCGGCGTATATACCTAAAAGAGGACAGGCGAGGATAGTAACCCGTTAACGAAAGTGACGAAACTTTT